GGGTTTCTTATTCAAGGTTTATTTCTACTACTACAGGCATCCTTTTCATGCATCCGTACTAGAGGCGTCCTCGACAAGAAATCGGTACGGACGGCATCCTTACGAAAGGATTCATTACTGCAGGTGTCCTGTCTAAGGGCTGCTGATTTCAGGGTGCCTGATTGAAGGATTCCTTATCACTGGCAGCCTTCCCAAGGACACCTTGCGACAGGAATAGTTACCAAGCAATCCTCAATAAAGGCATCCTTAGTAGAACTTCCTAGTCAAAAAAGGAGCCCTTACTCAGCATTCCTCATCCGAGAAATCAGTCCCAAACATGCCACAAGAAAGGCAGTCTTGCGAAGAAGTCCTTGCTACAGAGTCCTTCCCATCAAAAAAACAGTTTTGAAGGATTCCTGAATGAAGGGTCCATTACTCAGGATCCCCTTACTGAAGGCATTCTGACAAAAGGAATCCGTAGGACAGATAAGCTTGGCAAGGAAGCCGTTTTACGGGTAGATTTAAAAAGAAGGGTTCTTTGCAGGAGTCCTCACGGAGGACCGTTTGCTACACGGAACCGCATTGAGGGAATTCTTATTGGAGGCACCCCATACGAAGGAGTTCTTATTAAAGAGGTGATCATCAAGGACTCCTTCAAAAAAAGGAGTCTTACCAGAAGCTCCTTACTCAAGGGGTTCTGACCCAGTAATCCTTACAGAAGGAATCCACGCATCATCGATGTCAGCGTCATCTTCATCATCTTCTTCCTGTGCGTGCCATGTTAGGGAAGGCAGAAGCGCGAAGTGCCGCTAGGTTTTCCAGCCCATTTTTTCTGCCCCCTGTGCTTTTTCCGTGCACCCAGTCTGAGAGGGATATCGCCGGAGGCCATGGACTAAGGCGAGGACAACCCTGCGTTGTCCTCAGCTCTTCCTGGCAGGAGGTGGGCCGCATAATAAAGACCGACATTTTCATCTATTTTCGGATCTCCGCCCGGATCCTGGCGCGTTTCACGCGCCATGGGTGGGGGTCCAGCGCCGACCCGAGAAATCTGCGCGAACCCCCGAGAGTTTTGTATCTATGTATGTATGTATGTATGTATGTATGTATGTATGTATGTATGTATGTATGTATGTATGTATGTATGTATGTGTGTATGTGTGTATGTGTGTATGTATGTATGTATGTATGTATGTATGTATGTATGTATGTATGTATGTATGTATGTATGTATGTATGTATGTGTGGTGCGTTGCTCTTCTAGTGGGTGCAGGAGCCCGAGTCGCCTTCTTTTTCCCTTTCGCACTGTTGGGGCAATTTGTGCGCACTTTTGTCTGGACCCGCAGGCGCTGTGGGGGTGCTGGTCGTGACGTTTGAAGGGGAGGACGAGGAGGGGGAGGCGGACTTTTGTCGTCAACGGCAGCACCGCGCAATGCTTCTAGCCAGTGGCTCAGTATGAACAGGGCCTGCGGGCACCAGCCGTGTCCAGCAAGATGGATACCACGATCAGGGATACCCCGAACAGAAAGACGCCGAAGAGGAACGGCATTAACAACTAGGCTTGTACTTGCACCACCCAGACAGCCACATACAAGAACCAGGGACCAGGGAGCACCCACTGGACAAACATGAATTGTCTTCTCCTCCTCCATCCCCCTCGTCGAGGCCGAGGAGGAGGTCCGAGAGGAAGTGGAGGGAAATGATGATGAAGGATGCAGGGGAGGGTGAGGGAGCCTCTTCCACCCTCGTCTACCCCTCCTTCCTCCTTCTCCCCCCCCCAGACACTCGCACGCGGAAGAGGGAGGGGGGCGAGAGGCAGGAGGAGGAGGAGGAGGAGGAGGAGGAGGAGGAGAAGGACGACGACGACCAAGACGACAACGACGATCGCGGACGACGACGACGACGCTGACGACGACGACGGCGCCAACGCCGACGACGACGCCGACGCCGACGCTGACGACGACGACGCCGACGCCGACGCCGCCAACTACGAACTACGACGACACCTCTCACCTCTCTGGCCGACCAGGGGATGGCGACGTGAAGAGGCCCAGCGCTGGCGGCTCTAGGCCCGCCGCCCGCTCCACCCTTTGGGGGAGGGCGAGGGGGCATCCAGGGTCGAGGACCACTGGAGAGTCTGGAAGTTTGTCTCTTTTTTTTTGTTTCTCTCTTTCTCTCTCTCGCTGTCCGTCTCCCTCTCTCTCTCTCTCTGTCTCTCGCCTCCTTCGTCTCTCTCTCTCCCTCTCTCTCTCTCTCTCTCTCTCCGCCCCCCCTCCTGTCTCTGTCCCCCTCTCCCTCTCTCTCTATCTCTCTCTCCCCTATCTCTCTCTTTCTCTCTCTCTCTCTTTTCCCTCCCCCTCTCTCTGTATGTACATGCATCTATATCCCCCGTATCTGTCCCTCTCTCTCTCTGTCTCTTTCTCTCCCCTCCTGTCTCTGTGCGTCTTTCTTTCTCTCTCGCTCTCCCCTCTCTGTCTCTCGTTCCCCCCTCCCTCACTGCATGTGCATGTCTACATTTCCCGTCTCTTTCATTTCCTCTTCTCATGTTCTCCCTCTCTCTCTCTTTCCCCTCCAAGCTGTGTGTGTCGCTCTCTCTCTCTCTCTATCCTCTCTCTTTCTCTCTCTGTCTCTTCGCCCCTGTCTCCCTGTATATTCATACATTTGTCCCCCGTCCCTTCGTCTATCTCTCTCTCTCTCTCTCTCACTCGTTCTCTCTCTCTCTCATATATATATATAGATATCTCTCTCTCCAATCCTGTCTCTGTCTCTCTCTCTCTATATATATATATATATCTCTCTCTTCTCTCTCTCTCTCTTTCCCCCCCTCGCTCTCAGAATGTGCATGTCTATTCCCGCCCTCTTTTTTTCTCTCCCCTCCCGTCTCTTTGTGTGTCTCTCTCTATTTCCTTCCCTCTACGTACATGTATATATCCCGGGCTCTTTCTCTCTCTCTCTCTCTCTCTCTCTTCCCCCTTCTATCTGCGTCCGCGTGTGTGTGCGTGTCTGTGTTTGCTTCTCTCTCTCTCTCTTTCTCCTCCCCCCTCTCTTTCTTTTTACATATGTACAGATGTATCCCATCTCTCTCTTCCCCCCTCTCTCTGTATGTACATGTATATCACCCGTCTCTTTATTTATGCTTTCTCTCTCTCTCTCTCTCGCTCTCTCTCTCTCTCTCTTTCTCTCCCCTCCTGTTTCTGTGGGTCTCTCTCTCTCTCTCACTCACTCTCTCACTCTCTCTCTTTCTCTCTGCGCACCGCCTGACCCGCCGCACGCCGCCCACCGACGCGGAGCGAGCCGACGAGCCGCCGCAGAGCACCGGGGCGCGTCGCCCGCCCGCCCGCGCTCCGCCCGGGCCTCCGCGCGTCCCCGCCGCAGCGAGAGGGGCCCCCGACGGCGCCCGGGGAGATGTGCCCAGCCGTCCGTTCCCGCGCCGCGGTCCGCCGAGCTGTGCAGGTCGAGCGGCTCCAGAGTGAAGTCGGGCCTGTGCCTCGACAGGGGGGAGATCCAAACATAGTAAAAGAAAATGGTCGGGGGGCGATGTCTGGACTATTTTTTTTGCGCATGTTTGGAGCATGTTTGGGGGTATTCTTAATGTTTCGCCCAAAATCCCCCTGTGGGGGGACGCGCCCGCCCTAACTCCAGAGGGACAGGCGGGCGCTCACCGGGCAGCCCCTCGCGCCAGGCCACCAGCGGCATGGACGGGTCGCGCTCCCATCCAGCCAGCTGGCCGAGGTGCTGCCCCTCTTCCGCTCCCTGCCCGGCAGAGGAGAGGCTCCCAGGGGGCGGGAGAGCGGCCCGGGACGCTGCCGCCTGAGCCCCCTGGGCCCTGCCAGGCCCCGCTGCTCTGCCAGGAGCCCCACGCCTCTCTGCGGAAGCGGCAGGGGGCCAGGCCGATTTTGCAGGTGGTGGCCCCGCTCTGGCGCCAGGCGCCGCCTCCTCACGCCGTTCGTGCGCCCCCTGCCGCCTCCTGGGCCCACCAGGCCCCGGAGGAAAAGAAACACACAGACACAATTAATCCTCGATTCCCTAGAAAATATGGGACAATATGGGAAGTGGGGGGAAGAAAAAAACCCAGAAAATATAGGAACATCTCGTGAATATTGCGAAGGCCTTACGGGCGGTGCCGCCGACCTTGAAGGCGACGAAGATGAAAGCGAGCGTGGGGGGGTAGGAGGCGCAGGAGGAGGAGGAGGAGGGGGGGGAGGAGGAGGGGGAGGAGGAGGAGGAGGAGGAGGAGGAGGAGGAGGAGGAGGAGGAGGAGGAGGAGGAGGAGGAGGAGGAGGAGGAGGAGGAGGAGGAGGAGGAGGAGGAAAAGGCCTCTCCGGGCCTTCTTGAGAGTCCTTTTGGCGCTCTTTTGACCCGTCTGCTGGCCCGTTTTGGCCGTCCTTAAGGGTTCTTGGGCTGTCTTGTGGGACTGGGGCCGTCTAGGGGCGCTCTTGCGGATCCGTCGTGGCGACCCCCCTCCTCCAGCGCATCTACAGCGGGCCCTCCTGTGAAAGCCGCAAACGGGGGATGCGTATCTGGGTGGCGACCCCCCCCGGGCCCCCCCCCCCCGGGCCCCCCCCCGGATCCCCCCCGGGCCCCCCCCGGGATCCCCCCCGGGACCCGGGATCAAAGGGAAGGGGCTTCCCTTCGACGCATTTACGGCGTTGCTTATTTTCGTTTTGGTTGGCGCGCTTGAGGAGGAGGGGGAGGGCTCAGGGAAATGGCGGGTAGCGCCACACGCCGACAGGGTCGGCAGATTTTGATTTGTGTGTATTTATTTGTGTCCCAGTTCCCCTTCAACCAGCTGGCGCATCTTGGCCACCCGAAGGGTTGCCTTCGGCAGCGTCCTCGCTCTGCAGCCCCGTCGTGCTGCACACCGCCGCCCCTGCCGCCACCGCCGGCGCCGCAGGGGGGCCCGGCCCAGGAGGAGTCCGGCGTGCTGGGCTGGTCGCGGGGCCAGCCCTGCTTGCCTGCCCAGAGCTGCTGGAGGTGGGGCTGGGGAGGCTGGGCGGCGATGTCGGCGACGCCACGCTGCTCACCTCACAAGGCATCATTGACAGGTTCCTCTTCTGCGCCTTTCTCGAAGCCAGGGATATGCCGAACTCCTCCTTTTCGACTGGGTCTGTTGCGGGGGACTCCGCCTCGTCGTAGAAATCACCTGTGCCCGCTGGATGGCCTGCCACACCATGCTCCACCTCGGACACGGAGGGTGCTCGCAGCTGCCTCGGTGGTGAAGGGGACCTCGACCTGTGACCTTCACTCGGTACAAGCTGCCCTGCAATGGCACGGCTGAGGCACGTCCCTTGGCCAGTCCTCTGGCCAGGGCGGGCTGGCCCGCCTCCCCGCACTCCCAGCGACCCAAGCCTTGTCGCAGATGTCCTGGGCGTACTGCAGCCTCGGGGCGTCCGCCCTCTGTTGCGGCAGGGGCTCGAAGAGGATGTCAAACCTGCCCTGGTGTACCGCAAGGACCAGCTGCTGAATCCACTCCGCCATCTAGCTGCCTTTTCCTCCGTCAGCTTCACCAGCCACTGGAAGCTACGTAGAACGTAGACGCCTCGTCGCTTAAACTGTCCTCCCACGACTGCGTGGCCCGCTGAGCCGCGTGAGCTTGAGGATGAGTGGCCGCCTCGGGCCAAGGCACCAGCGCACAGCTCGGGACTCTACTGCCCTTCCGACGGCTCCATGGGAATACGCGTCCCTGGCCACGCCGTTCCTCTCTCTCTCTCTCTCTGTCCTCCCTCTCTCTCTGTACATGTTGATGTCCCCCGTTTTTGTTTGTTTGTGTGTGTCTCTCTCTCTCTCTCTCCCCCCCTTTTTTGTGTGTCTCTCTCTCTCTCTCTCTCTCTTTCTCTTTGTGTATATATATATATATACATCAGTATCCCCTCCTTTCTCTCTGCGTGTCTCTCTCTCTCTCTCTTTCTCCCCCCCTCTCTCTCTATTATCCCCGCTCTCTCTGTAATGTATATGTCCCTCGTCTATGTTATGTATTGTTCTCTCTCTCTCTCTCTCGTTCTCTCTATATCCCCCTCCTGTCTGTGTGTGCGTCTGTTTTTGTAATGCTTCTCCCTTTCTCTTTCTCTCTCTCTCTCTCTTTCTCTCTCTCTCTCTCCCCCCTATATCTTTCTTTCTCTCTCTCTCTCTCTCTCTCTCTCTCTCTTTCTTCCCCCTATCCCTCTCTGCACGTGCATGTACATGTACATTTCGCCCGTCTCTCTCTCTCTCTCTCTCTCTTTCGGCCCTCCTCGGCGCGTCCTTCCCTTGGGCAGACAGGCCCGCCGCCCTCTCGCCTGTGTCCCCGAGGCTTTGGGGGCACAAGGGAGAGGTAACCAGTGGCGGCGGCGGTGCAGCAAGGCTGAGGCATCCATCCTCCTCGTTCTCATCCTATCCCTCTTTGTTTGTTTAAGGGTAGGGCAAATATTAAGGCCTACCCTGTCCCTCCTCTCCTCCTCCTCTCCTCCTCCTCCTCCTCCTCCTCGTCATCCGCATCAGCATCAGCATCAGCATCATCATCATCATCATCATCATCATCATAATCAGCATCATCATCATCATCATCATCGCATATGGCTCGGGCATCATCATCATCACCATCATCATCATCACCATCATCATCACCATTGTCATCACCATCATCATCATCACCAGCATCATCATCATCCTCATCATCATCATCTTTTGGCTCAAGCTTTCCTTGAGCTGGCTGCGCCGACGGCTTTTGAGCTCACGCCCAGCAATTCCCAGCTGGTGGACCGCCTGGCTGCCATGGCCAAGCGCAGACAGATCGAGGTAGACGACATGAATCTGGACAGTGATAGTGAGGACTCCCGAGCGGATGATGACTCGGGTAATGCGGTGACGCTTGCTGACATCATGAAGCAGCTGAAGAAGAGCAATCGACACACTAAAAGACATATGGGTAAGGTCACCACTGACATCAAGGAAATCAAGGAAGAGCAGGTGCACATCAAGACGGCTGCCGACAAAGCTCTTGTCACCGCCGAGAAGGCACTCGCGGCCGCGGAGGAGGCGAACAAGATCGGCACTTCGAGGGCGGCATCATCGAATGGGTCAACAGATGTTCCTCCAGGCCTTCGGTCAGTACTTCAAGGAGGAGGAGCTGAGGAGTCCCCCGCGAAGTTGGTCATAGGTGGTTTCGAGGCCTACTCAGAGCAGGATGAGATGCAGCCCTTCGTGGACATGATCTTGGAGTTCGTCATCACTGATGTGAAGTCCACCTGGTTCAGCAACCCTGGCAACCACGCCACGGTGACTCTCAGTGGCCCCGCTAAGATGTGGGAAGTGATCAAGAAGCATCAGAAGAAGTCAAAGGAGGATAACCTTCAGGGAGACGACTCGGGTAAGGCCATCTATACCGTGAATGGAATCACTAAAAAGTTGTGGATTAAGAAGCACAATACTTACGATGAGAGGCAGCGCTACACGAAGCTGCTGAAGATCGCGGAGGAGCTCAAGTCCAAGAAGGGCGACCTCTCCTTGCGCACGCTGGGGGGCAAGCTGGAGGTCATCGACGCCCAGCGCAAAGTGCTGCTGGCCTACATCGACCGCAACTCGCAGGACATCAAGCTGTGCCAGAGGAACCTCCCAGAGGAGCTCAAGGGCCAGTGGACTGACGCGGACTTCGAGAGGGCGGTCATCAAGAGGGTGAACGACTGGAACACCCAGCAGAGGGAGAAGCGTGGGTAACATTTGTGGAACCAGAAGGCAGGGGTACGGCATGAGGAACATTCGCGACCTGAATGTTGTTGCTCTCAACTGTAGCGGGGTTACTGCAGCTGAGTATGCATTCATGTTTCAATCTATGGAGTTCGTGTGGGATGTACTTCTTCTCCAGGAGTTCACCACGGTAGGGGATGGGGGCATCTTCGACGTGGACGGCCACACCATCCTTGCCTCGCCGTGCCAGGGCGGGGTCAGGGGCTGCGCCATCGTCATCCACAGGCGCCGCGCCACTGGTCTCGAGCAGCCTAGAGTCAACGGTGACTCCAGGGTGATGGTTGCTGACCTCAGTGTCGGTTCGGCCAAGTTTTGTTTAGCCTCAGGATACCTCCCGCAGAAGCACTCCGATGAGGACTCCTTCGAGCGGGCGAATGAGGTTTTCAAGCATGTCATCTCCGAGCTGCGTGACTCTGAGATTTTAGTTTGGTCGGTCGATTCGAATTGCGAGTTCGGCGAGAGTTTACACAACGTCGAGTCGGATGTGATTGGGAACTTCTCCAAGGGGTCCAGGAACGAGAGGGGGGAGCATATTCTAAAACACTGTCTGGAAAACGAACTGTCGTCAGCACTTTCTTCGAGGGAGTTCAGTCAGGGACTTGCTTCAGCTACTCTACTGGCACGCTAACTCAGACCGGTCGTGTTATTACTCAGATATCAAGGCGTGGTAGGTTTCGAAATATTAGGGTATCGGAGACTACTTGTACAAACACGAACCATAGGCCTATTGTAATTAACATCGCTTGCGAACACCAAAGGAAATGGGGGACCCGAAAGCCTCTAAACTGGAAGATCGATCATCCCGAAAAGTTCATCGAGAATATTGCCGCGACGATCGACCCGAATCAGACGATCCAGGACATGTCGAATGCGATCGGCCATGCAGGTAGCCAGTGCGGGGTTTCAATGTCTAGGCGATGCCAAGCACGGCTTGATCGGCATCACCTTCATCAGCTTGAGCTTCAATGGCGCCAAGCGGGAAACAGGCTCGAGAAGATTAGATTGAGTCGTGAGGTGTGGAGGGAACGGCATAGGCTTTTGGAGCTGTCGAAAGAGGCTAAAGCCACGTCTGTCCTGAGCAATCTCCGCAAGGGGGGATGGGGCAAGAAACGACAAAAGCAAAGCTGCCACTATTGCCTGAGAGATCCCGTCACAGGTGCCAGTAGGAATCAGGCCCAGCACATCAGAGAGGACATGGGGGAGTTCTACACTAAGCTCTTTAACGAACCCGTACATGAGCAGGAGGTCTCTAAGATACCTGAATGGATTTATGACGAGCTTGATGAGGAGATCACCATTTCCTGTCTTCTCTCTAGCTGCGCCAGTCTCCAGAGCGGCAAGTCCTGTACCAGCGACGGAGTCGTTGGCGAGATGCTGCGCACGTTTGTCACGGTGGGCCAGCAGGTTTCCGCGGGCGCCCCCGAGATTTTAAATGGTGAAGATCCTGGGGGCGGACTCCGATCTAGGGGGCCAGGAGAGTATGGACGTAGTTATCTGTTGCAGTTCGATGGGGGCAGGAGGAGTTCGGAGGTCTCTGGCATCGGCTTTGCAATCTTTGAGCCCGAGGGAAACATGATCACGCACTTCAGCCACCGCCTGACTGCAGGCGCCACGTCGGATGACGCAGAGCGGCACGGTTTAATCTTCGGTCTCGAGACCGCGCTGCTGCACGGCGTTGAGGACCCAGTGGTGGAGGGGGATAACATCAGCGTAATTTATCAAACGGGTGGGAAGTGGATGGTGTTCGAAAACAAGGTCCTGAAGTATTTAACGGTTGTCAACGCTCTCCTGGCCAGCTTCAATCGCGTTCGGCTTCGCCATGTTCGCAGATGCTTTAACGTCATCGTCGACTGGTTAGCTAATCAAGCTATGGATCATCATGAATGTGTTTCTAGTCACCACTATGGTTTTTACCACAGCTGTTCTATATGTATGACTGACGGCGAGGACGTTGAAACACTGAAGGTTCACTCTTGCGAGGTTTGGCTTCCTGACAAGCAGTTTTTCGTGGAGCACCCGCTGTATACCATCAAACGGGCCATAGACAAGGATCTCCAGGGAGGTTTCTCGAGGCATGTTTACGATTTTGAAAGGGAGGAAAAACGTCGGAGGCTTTATACTGAAGATGTTCCCTGGCACATGGTCCGACAAAAATCACGACTTTGTAGAAGCAGGTCTGATCAGATCATCCTGTCCGAGCTTGCCTTGCTCCCTAAGCAGTCGTTGATAGCCTGGTACACGGTGCTCAGGCCTATTGCTGTACTGCCGGTGCTTGCCAAAGCCATTGGTGGAGCCATGCTGGAATATGCAGAGACGCAGATCGGGGATTTTCCATGCGACTGGCAGTATGCGTACAGGGAGGGGTACAGCGTTTGTGATTTGGTCCTGGTGCTCGCCATGATTGCCCAGAAGTGTATGCAGATGGGGGTGCAATTTATCCTTGCCAGCATGGATATCCCCAAAGCTTTTGATTTTGTCCGACATGCCCGAGTGCTGGAGGCACTGCTTAAACGAGGAGTCAGTGAAAGTGTGTGCGCGTGGTTCTTGAGGCACACGAGGTCCTTCCACTTCAAAGCTAAACTAAACGAACATGAAGCTGAAATACCTCATACTACCCGTGGGATTCCTCAAGGTACCAAGTGGGGCCCCAAGTTCTTCTGCTGGACCCTCGCGGACTGTTTACAGCCTGTGTGGGACCTGTGCCAGCGCGAGCGCCTCGGCATCGCCATGGCATCGGTGCTCCCTTGCTCCGTGCA